CCCCCCCCAACCCCCGTGTACTGTGCCAAACTGGTTTCAGGACTTAAGAAGTGTGTAATGTGCTAATATCACTTAAATAACAACATGTCTCTGACATGCACACGATTTTTGTTTTATCACTGGTGATATAGTCCTTGCAGGAGATGCTTAGAAGTTTGAAAACGCTTTTAATCTCTTAAGGTATTTATGTAATTATCCTCGTCTCAAAGATCTACCATCAGGGCAAATGACTCAAAGGTGTATTAGAATATTGAATTATTGACAATGGAATGCATTTGTCTCGGCTTTGAGGTGAGTGCAATGCTTGTCTCCCTTTAATGGCCTTCATTTGTCCAATGCCGTTGTTGTCTTGGCAATCCTGGAGTGTATATCAGGTTGTGATACTTCATTTTTCTCTACAGTTCCTTCTCCGAAGTACTAAAAACCTCCGTGTACTGGCTGTTCTGAGTTTCGTGGTTTGGACTCCAATGTTTGGGCCACAATTATTGGTATTATTGATCATCACTCCTGTACTTCGTCGTTTTGATCTACATGATGTATTTTGACAGTAGTATGTCCATGATTTCTGTTAATCAGAGGCTGCCCCCGTTATCCCTACAGACTTTCCTTTTGTTTTCTTTATCTGAATCTAAAAGAGACATGCTTACAATGAAATGTGCAATTTTGTCTTGTAAGATAATTTGAAATGCGCCGCAATATTGTCTTTACTCAGCAGTTAATCGGACATAATAATAGTATGTGTCCGCCACGTCTTTGGGGGGTTAAGATGTTGTTTTTCTATTTCCTGCTTCAGGTTTTGCCTCGAAAGAGTTAGCCCTAGAAAGTAGCCTGTTTAAGTACTTCTCCCACAAGACAAGTATGTTCCGGGCGACATGCAACGTCACAGACGCCGGAAGTTCGAGTCTCACCTCAACCAACATCCACATCAACCGTCCACCAAGGGGGGGTAACTGTAGCATTGTACCACTGGAGGCTGTGAGCTCCCCTGATGGTGCCAAGCAGTGGAAAATCGAGTGCTCCAACTGGGAGGATGAGGACGGTATTCAAGTGTTTCAGTTCTTCAGTAAGTGATTCCTGATCGTTCTGTCAGAGCTGGCCCTATTCTTGCCCCTCCCCCTTTTCACCTTCCAGTCCCCTTTTCCCCAATCACCAAAATACATCTAATAAATAATTTCCCTTTACTCTAGACAACTGAAAATTGTAAGATTGTACATATTGTTTACCAAAATCTATTTTAAGTTCTCGCAATATCCTTTTGAAAACAATATAATAGATAATTGTTTATATAATGCTTTTAGCCATCGGAAGAGATACGTGAAAAGCAGTATTGCCTGTTAAGAAACGTGTCAGAGTTGAAGGCGTTTGTGGCGTAAGTCAAATGGTTAGAGAGTTCATGTAGCAATTTCCATTATTCTACAATAAATAAATTTAAAAAGTATATCAAAGGGCCATGTGTGCAAGACAACAAGACAATTAACTGTACAAACTACCACTCCCCACTTCCCCCTTTCGTTTTTTTTTCGTCATTACATGTATAATGGAACTGTCCAAGACGCCCACCTGTGTGTGTCTGTGTGTGTTTGTGTGTGTGTGTGTGTGTGTGTGTGTGTGTTT